AGGATATGCTGGCAGCTGAAGGGAGGAAAGGCCTTCAGAGCCAGCCCTTCCCAACAGAGTCCCAGGCACCTTCTGTCTTTTGATTCTCCTTTTGTCCTACAGAGATGATCTAATAGAGCTGGAAAGGAGGATTGGGGTAGAGAATTTGTCTCCCCATTTGGCTTTGATTTTGCATGTTTGCTGGTTTGGCTTCCTCAGTGCTGATTGTTTGGAAGGGATGTGTGGAATCCTAAAAAACAGTACCCCTAGGTCATGCTGGTACAGCAGCTGTTGAGTTAACATAGGATACACAGGATGCGGGCACATTCCCACCAAGAAAGAGGGAAGCTGCTGCTGTTCTCACCCCATGAGCACAGATGTGTTGCTGCCTCCATCACCTATCTGCAATGTCATTCTGGAAAAGCTATTCTTTCTTCTCTGGTGGTGATGCCACCTTCTCCTGGACGTGGGCAAAGCCATGAGCTGTGCTTTCCCACCAGCGTAGATCTATGCAGACCAGGAAGGTTGATAGCAAAGTGATATTGGCCAAAGAGCATGAATTTTTCTGCAGTCCTGGCTAGAAAAGTCACATTTTTGAAGTGCTGGTGGTGTTGTCCTGGTCTGATGAGCAGAACATATTGCTGCTCTTCTCCAGGCTGTTGGCTGTGCTTGCTCCTATCTTTGCTGTGCCAATGATGCTCTTGTTAGAGAAAATTTTGAGCACTGATTCACTGGGAAGGCACTGGGAGAGGTGGTCTTACAGGAAACAGGTTGCAGATGCATTTCTGCATGATACTTATGTCAGAATGAAGCTGTCTGTTCATGTTTTGGATGTGCAGCCACCTTGGGGGAAGGTGCCTGGGACAGCAATCCTTGTAGGATGGAGAACACAATAGTTTTCTCTTTTCTTTCCTTCCACACTGCTGAAACCGACAGGGAAGGACATAACAGACTTCCCACATGAATGGTTATGCAAAGCTGTGATGTCAGTTTGGTCTCCCTTCAATTAAGAAAATCTTGGCAGCAAAACCCACATAGGTTTAGCCCTGCCTAGCATTTCTGTGGGGTGAACTCGCTTGTCCTCCCTGCTGGCCACACTTTGCCACCAAAAACACTCTGTCCCACCTGGCTGCAAATATTTCCATTATGCAGCTGGAGGTTTTCCCAGAGAAAGAACATACTGAGCTGCTGATTGAAGCAGGTCAGTTGAAACAGGCATGGTTTTGCCCCATGTTTCCCTGTTTTCATGTCAACACATTGGCAGACCAGGGCTGCAACGGCTGGGCTGTGGCACTCCCTGCTGCTGCAGGGAAGTGGGTCCTGCCCTTCAGCTGGCGATGAAGGGTGGCACGAGGAGTGCCATGCTCAGCTGGCAGCCAGGCTGGGGTCACAACTCCCACAGCCATTGCTCCTGGCCTCGGTAGGCATGAGTCACGGCTGGAGAGATGCTGCAAAAGCACTCCAAACTGCTCCAGGGTGCTGGGAACTCACTCATAGGATGACCATCTCTGCCACATTTCAGTGCCTAAGTCCTTTTGTGGTGGTTACCTTTAATTTGTGTATTTTTCTGAGCTACCTGTTCCATCAAAACTAAACCTCAGCTTTTCCCTGGGGGAAGGTCCTTTCTTTTCTTCCAGTTTCACCCTTCCCCCCTGAATTTCTCACCCATGATTCCCACTGAAAGTTGTCCTGGCAGTGGATTTTGCAAAAATAATGAGTATTAATGTGTTCTGTGCAGCACAAAATGCTTGAGGGGAAATGAAAAGACAAAACTGCTCTGTGATTGCATGAATGATTTAATTTGTAATAAAACCTCGCTTGAATTTTAACTATTAACCCTTTGTCAGCTTGCAGGGATGCTGAAATGCATTTGCACCATTAACATTATGTATTCCTTTTCCTTTCCAAAATGTGTCCCTCCGTGTTCAGACTGGGCCTGCTCCAAAGTTTCCTGAAGGGGTAAACAGGCTCTACTTGGCTTCAGTGATGTTTGGATTGGATTAGAAATTAAGGCTTTGCTTGGTAAATTCAAACACAATGGAAGCCCTGTGAAATCATCTCCTGACACAGACTTAGATTTGTTTCATTTGTCCTTTGTAAGACATTCGTATTTCAGTGCTGTGACTGTGGAGCAATAAGGTGCTCCAAAGCCTTCCAGCAGTTTCTGTAACTGTCTCCCTCCATGGGGGGGGTGCCCTGGAATGCACTGCACAACTGCAGCCCCTGCAGAGACAGAACTTCCTTTCCTTGGGCTCCTGTTTTCATGCCATTATCAAGGCAAGACTGTTTATGCTAAAAATAGGTATTTCCCCACATCTCCCCTTGCAGTCTCTTCCACAGACTGTAGGACTGTTGGAAAGCTTTTCCTGATGGTTGCAAAGGAGGTGATACTAACCATTTGGTATATTTTGTGCCTCGGAGAGCTTCACAGGTAGTACTCTGATGATCAGAGTTTTACCCTTGACACAACACCATCAGGTGTGGCTCTCAAAGTTATTGCCTTTATCACACATCTACACACTCACCCTGTGTATGTATATACACACATTTTCTGTTTACATAGGTAACATGTTTGTATTTTTCATTCCAAATGAAATCTGCTGCAATCCTGTTCTGTCCCTGCAGTGACCAGTGTGATGGTATTGAGCCATAGTGTGGTATTTAACTCAAGGCAAAACACACAACCCACAGCAGCACACCAAGCAGGTACATCACCTCTGAGTGTATCAGTGATAAGAAAGCAAATCCCTTTTTTCTGAATGTCACTTGAGCTTGGGTTAACTCCTGTTTCAGTGTACCTGAGGGGGGAACTGCGCTTAGCTGCTGCAATGGGAAGGGTTTTCAGTGAAAGGGAAAATTAACCCATCCCATGTAGCCATGCAAACCCTTTGCACAGTGGAGCTAATTATGGAGTGATTATAGCTGAGATCCTGATCTCAGAGCCACCTACAGCTGCCTGGCACTTCCCAGCACTGCTGAAAGTGATGGCAGCCTGGCTGGAGGGGTTGCATGTCTGGGACCCCCATGAGCTGTGTGTGTTGGCACACTGAAGTTGCTGATCAGTTGCCAGTTCTCTGTTACTATTCAAAAGGGCTTTGTGCAGCCACTGAGGTCATGGTGATAGATACCAAGGAGGATGCTAGGTGGTCTGAGTTCTTGGTGGGACCCTAAGAGTGGATCTATCTCCGATGCTTTCTTCGCAGGTAACAAAATTTGACAGTGCAGCTCTAGAAAAGGCATCTGTTGGGGGGACAGGGCTGCCTGTTATTTGTCTCACAGGGTGAGTTCCCTCCTGGCTGGCCTCTATAAAATTCAAGAAAGCTTAAGGGCCTTTATGAAGCCCTCACAATGACTTAAAAAAGCTCAGAATCTTAAGCCTAATGCCAATAATTTGTCCTTCAGAGGGGGACAAATTTGTTTGATGTCTTCATCGGTGTGAAAAATAACCATCTAAGATAAAGTTACTTGTGAACAGGAGATTTGCTTTTTAAAACTTGGCAAAGAGAGAAAAAATATCAAAACCACAGAGGTTTTACTCTTTAAATGAAAGAAGGGAAGAGGAGATGTGCTTTTGATACCGAGAAGTAGACTGAAAGCAGGAATTGAACAGTTAAAGCTGAAAGCATAAAGAATAACTTTACTCATAGCACTATTTCAGCTTAATTAGCAAAATAGCAAGAATTGCATAGTATAGATAAGGAGTTTCACTAATGGTATTGTTTTGGCTTGGTTGGTGATACGATGCACCTTATCTATAAGGCAGTAGAACTAATTAGACTCAAACCTTGGCAGTAGGGGGAAAACTAAGACCATATAAGGTGTGGAATGAAGAAACAAAATGTACAAGATAGAGGCAAGGTCAGCAAGGCATGCAAAACTGTACAAAGGGGTAAACGGTTGCACAATAAGGGTGTCCAAAGGGTACTGAGGAAGAGGAGACACTTCATCTTCACGACCACTGAATGACCACCAAGACCATGGGACTGATGCCAGGATGGAGGAGACGGAGGAGGAATATATGATAATGATTACCAAGAACTAATTATAATAATAACCACCCATTCCTGGAAATAATGAATATGTATGAGCATTTAGTGCATATAAACTGTGAAGTTTTTGTCCCTGGTTGCACAAGTTTGGTGGAGCGATCCCCCTTGTGCCCAGCGCTGAATAAACAATACCTGCTACTCAGAAATACAAGTCTGTGAGTAGTTCTTTTCCAGCCTTTTCTCGGCATCACTTTCTGTTGCACAGAGGAAGGCAATTCCAGCATATTGGAAGACTTGTGTTTTCCAGTCCAAGCTGGGGCTGCTGTCAGACAAATGTTGAGCCCGTGGCCCCACTGTGACCCCACACTGTTCATCTTGAGACCCAGTGAAGGGGCCCAAGGCCGGTGGGCAGGCAGAGCAGGGCTGCTGGAGTGGGGCTGCCATCAGCTCAGCCAGGCAGAGCCGTGGAGCCAACAATGAGCCTACTGATGGGGCTTCTCCAAACGGCGCCTCAGCACCCGCCAGCAGCATCTGATCCGCAATAACAGCATTGCTATAAAGTAACCTTCTTCCACATGCCAGAGGCATGAAATAGGATATGCTTTCTGCTTCTCTCCTCCACCTGGGAAGGTTGGGGGGAGGGCAGGAGAGATGGCTTTGTCCCTGCTCTTCATGTTCACTCGCTCCTGGTGAACGGGATGGAGCAGCTGGCACAGTGCAACTTGCTTTGGCCATGTGGTGTGTGTTGGGGCACAATTCTCATCCCTTGGCCCCACAGCTTGTAGGGGAGTAGC